AAAATATTTGATATGTCCTTCGGGTTCAGCAGAAGTTGAACGAGTTTTCTCGGCTGCTGGATTAATTTTGACCCCCATAAGGAAGTCAATAAATTCAGACAATTTAAATAAATTACTGTTTCTTAATAGGAACCTTCAATTTTATAATTAAATATCAGATTTCTGTTGAATAAAATGTGTGTTTTTTTTTTGGAATAAAACAGTTGTAATTTTGGCTACCGTGAAAATTCGGTATTTTTATTTCGAATTATCGTTGCCAATATTTTGATTTTCGGCAATTTGCCGAATTGCCGAATTGCCGATTTGCCGAAATTTTGATTTTCGGCAATTTGCCGAATTGCCGAATTGCCGAAATTTCCGATTGCCTGGCGCACAGTCCGCAAGCGGCATCCGAGATGTTAAGTGAAATGGTTGCGAGATGCGAACAAGTAGGGCTCCAGATTAACATTATAACTATTTTTCATCGGCTCCATTTGAATAGATGCTGCGAATTTTACCTTATAATCGTACCTTATACTTTTTGGTGCAATTTGAAAATTAGTATTTACTTTCGCATTAACGAGATTGTTTTGAACGACATCGTAGCACCATGGACGGAATAAGAGACAGTTTCAGAATCGAAAATAATTGTTAAAAAATGAAAACGAGTTACTTTAAGTTTAGTCTCGTCAAGGGATTTGTGGTTTATGCCGGCGACGAGATATTGTTTTCGTAAACGGAAATGAAGCTGCATTTTAGTTGATTCATAATATTTTCTGAAAAAAAACAAACTTTAAACGATTATACGTTTGATGCCTCATTCGGAAGCCTTCGTCCGGAATTGCTATCAACTCGCCCATATTTGAATTGTCAGTTTTTATTTTCAATTATAAGCCTTTTCTTATTCTCAACCGCAGCAAAAGAAATATTGAAAACTAAGTTCCTAAGAGAAAAGAGAAAAAATTATACGTGTAGTGTGAAAATTTTTTCGGAAAAATAAATCGGGAAGAAATTCTGAAAAAAGTTTTAGACAAATTTTATCGAAGGTGATTAAAATAATACAAAAAAAAGTCACTTCGAGTCAAAACCGTTGAACAGAAATGTCATCAAAATCTACCTCTGAGCCTATTATATTTGGTCTTTAGATTCTGGTTCGAAAAATCAATATTTTTCCACTTCCTCATAGTTAGACTTGTAATCATCAAAATAATGAAAATTCCAAATGGAAAGATTTTATTGTTGAGAAATGACAAATGTATCCAGGTGTCGTGGGATCCGGCGTTTTGTACGCAAAGAGACAGTTACCGTAATCCTTGCTGCGATTTACGGATTTTTTAAAATTTTCTTTCAATTTTTTTTGCTGAATTTTTTTATTTTCGTTAGAAATCTTATATGAAGATTTTGACGCTCTAAAAATTATTTTGAAAATGAAGAATACAAAAACAAGATAATAGAAACGCATACAAAAAGCAAAACACGATTAAATAATTTTATTAAAGAAAAAAAAATGATTTTTTTCAAATCTCTGCTGTTTTTACCAAAAAAAAATATCGTTTAAAAGTGCTTATTCTGCTAAATAAATTATTAAACTCGGTTTCTGCAAAATTTAAATAACAAAATTTCGAAGGGAAATACGGAAGCTGAGCGAAAAAAATGAATATGCGAAATTAAATAAAAAGTCCCCGTAAATCGCTGCGAGGATTACGGTAACTGTCTCTTAGCATTGCGCACAAAACGCAGGATCCTACGACACCTGGATACATTTGTCCTTTTTCAACAATAGTTTGAAATTGTACCGATATCAGAGTCTTCTTCCGCACGATTTCCACTCATTTTTTAATTGATACTTTCTAAAACATTTGAGAATCGATAAACTTAAAAATATTTTTTTTAATCTTATAAGATTTTCTAAAATTTATTGAGCAAATTCTAAATTATCTCAATCAACTTTAGAACTTATTATAAGATTTTATAATTTATAGAGATAATTTAGAATTTGCTCAATAATTTTAGAAAATCTTATAAGATTAAAAAAAATAATTTTTTATGTGTTTCCCGGACGAAGGATGCGCAAAATTTCTTGGTCGCATCATTTTATCTTTTATCCTGCGTTGTTTTTGTAAAACCCAAAGTTTTCTCTCGGTTTGTTCATTATGTGATAAAGATCCCTACAAGAACAGCTGAAGGAGCCGTTATCACCCCCTGGTCCACCCAAGCCAAGAACCGAAAAACTTGGAAAGCTGTGGTTCGCGCCTCAACAGGCGAAGGACGAATCGACTAAGTGACTAAGTAAGTAAGTTACCTTACATACATCTACCCCAGATTTTTTTATTGTCCCGAGATTCTTCGCTAGTGTGCCATATTCCGGGTTCAATAATCTATGTTTGAGTTTGAGGTGTCATAAAGAAAACTTCAACTTGAAAACGTCTTGATTGTAAATATAAATATCGTTTAAAAGTGCATATTCTGCTAAATAAATAATCATAATAAAATCGGTTTCTACAGTTTATAAATAAAATCAAAGTTTGAAACAAAATACGAAAATTGAAAGAAAAATAAAAAACAAAATGAAAATACGCAATTCTCGTAAATCGCTGTGAGGATTACAGCAATTCGCTCATCGCATTACGTACAAAACGTAAGATCCCACGACACCTGAATACATTTGTCATTTTTAAACCATACCCGTGTTTTCGTAATCGTATCATGCGGAATAAAAATTTCAATTTCGCAATTCTCGGTAGCTCGTTGTCCCAAATGTTGCAGTTCTCTTTATTCACAATTGATAAACACTCATTCATGTCATTCGAATCATCTAAAAATTATTCATTATTTTCAATTATGATTAAAATAGTTTTACTAGAACATACAGTGCATTTGGATTTCGGAATTTGTCTTGCGACTCTACCCAATCTGAAGAAGTCACAAAAGATTTAGGTCCTTTAGAGCAAGTGATGGCACCGAACATATTTGGTTGCGAATCTAGAAATATTGCAAGCTATCATAAACATTGATTGAAAACAACTTTTTGACAGATGTCGTATCTTTTTTGATTTAATACTTTCTGACATTCTTTGATGGTGCGGTGTTTTAATTCTTTTCGCTTTATATCAATATCATCAGCTGAAAAAAACTTTTTGTTAGTAGTGCACAATATATTACCATTCAGCTTTAATTAATTTTGCCGCATTGAAGATCGGAAGATCGTTGTCCGTCAAGAAATGAAGCCTGTTCCGAAGATGGCCAATGCCCACAAGATGAAACTATTAAAATTTTCCCGTAGCAATTTGGCGACGACTTGGAAGTTGGTAATTCTTACTGCATATTCGTAAAGTGGGTTGATTTCATGTTTAGATCATTATTTCGGATGAAAAATTCAATCTTGATGAACCCGACGGCAATCACTCGTATCTGTGAGATCTTCAAAAAGATCTTATTCTCGCCAAAATTTTGGCGGTGGAAATGTGATGGTTTGGGGAGCATTTTGTAACAACAAAACGCTTGCCCTGCAGTTTGTGACGTGCCGTATGAATGCTGTCGATTATCAACAAGTGCTTACAGACGTCGTAGTGCCATTTTTCAATCGTGGCAACCGCAAGAAGTCCCACTTATTCCAACACATCAAACTTTTGGATTGGCCTGCCTGCACCCCAGACCTTAATCCCATCGAAAACGTCTGGCTTCTTGCACGTTCTGTTTACGCACACGACAAGCAGTATGCCACTGTTTCTGAGCTGAAGGCCGCAATTACACTAGAATGGAACGGTTTGTCACCAGCATACCTTGAGAAACTAACCAATAGCATGCAAACCCGAATATGTGAAGTGATCCAAAACTATGGAGGGACTACTAATTATTGAATTTGTTTTGTTCTAGCATTCAGACTTATTGTTTTATCGTTATTTCGACTTTTTTTGCGATTTTGTCCTTAAATAAAATTATGTCGTTCAAAAAAATGTGACTTTTCTTTTGATATTTGATTTTTGAAACCGTAAACACACTCAATATATTCCTACTCAATTAGTTCTGTTGTCGGCGTCAAGCGACTAGACGAAATAAAAAAGGAATATTGGCTACTTGCCAATGCGTCTCGAGGCAGCGAGTAGTACGCGACACTGCGTACATTACATTATAGTGTACGCGCATTTAATATTCAGTCAATGACAAATTTAAATCTACACTGATTTCGTGAATTTGAAGGCTCCGCCTCCCTTCAGTCGTTTGACGCCGACAATAATAATAATTAATTAATTAAGTATAGTGTATATTCGAATAAATGGTATATTAATACACTTTTAATATTGAGCAGCTAGAATAGAAAGCAAAATGACTGGACCAAATCGGGGGAAGGCAACGAAAGGGGGCAAGGAAGTTCGGGTGCGATTCGTGGCCGATTTGCACTCGAACTGGGCCAGTAGTAATTGTGCCCGCTTTCGTTCGGGCGCTTGGTTGCACCAGATCGGACGGGAGCAGTTGCGACGCCTAATTGCTCCCGTATGACCCCCGTAAGGGAGCAGATTTGCGCTCGAACTGCTCCCGCGCAGATTTACCGAGTAAGTTAATTAATCCATCAAGCGCGGCCGTGGCCGAACCTTACTTTTGAGGACAATTTTTCTAGGCCGCACGTGAGTTGCGACGAACGTACGAGCCGTGTTTTTGAAATTCAATACATTTTTTTGTTTTTTTCATGTTTTTAATACGACACTCCGAATAGTACATTGCCCCCGTTTTAGCGTATTCGGTTAGCCGCCAATCCTCCGCCGTTTTCCAAAAACGACCTTTTCGCCGTCTTTTCTGCGGAACGAATTGTTGAGACACGTGTTTTTAACCCGTTAAGTTTGCCGATTGAAATTTTTTTTTGAGAAATTGTAGTCTTCAACTATTTTTTTTCTGTTTTGATCTACTTTTCTTGCGTACAAATGGAAGCGCGAATTGAGATGAACGAAAATACAATGTGAGTCCTTGAATTCTTCACATTTTTTTACTACATTGTTCCGAATGTTACCATGAATATTATAGACATGCGCGCCGTCTTATTCATCGGACTCATCGTCGCTTGTGGTGCCGCAGTAATTCAGATTCAACCACACCACGAGGAAAATCATTTTTCGCATCATGAAACTCCAACCAAGTACCCAATTCATCCGGTTCACATTATGAGAAATTCTGAAATGCCTAGAAAGTAGGTTTTATAATTTTATGCAAATTGAAAATTTTCTAATTTAGGGAGAACACGATGAAGCAAGAGAGTATTGATGATCAAATGAATAACGAGGTTGATTCCTTTGGAAACGAAATTGAGCATATTTTTGGAAATATGGTTGACGTTGTCAAGCATGCTCGCATTCCATTCTTCTTCGATGATATTGAAAATGGTTTTTCAAAAACTAACTTCGCAATATTAATTTAAAACTATTTGCAGCTCAAGAAGACAGAAATAATTTGAAAACCAACCATGTAGAAGACTTGAACCATACTAACGTTGACCAAAACAGTATGTTTTTCATTTTGTTTTTGCTCGAACAGTTTTTTAAGCTCTTTTAAACAAAACTCGTGAGGAATTGAGGAAGGATATTGATGCTTTGAAAAAGGTATACGCCGATTTGAGCAGCGAATTTGATGAATGGGTGGTACGGCCAAATTCTGTTGGACAATGAATTTTGATGAATTTCAGATTTCAAACAAACACCAAAATTTCAAGTCGATGGTGATTGGAGCCGTTTCGGCCATTTGTGTTATAATCGTCTACGTTCTGCTAGGAAAATGCTGCAGAAGGTGCGATTAATATTAAACGTCGAATTTTTGTTGAAATTTTAAGACGTTCCCGCCTCGGTCATCTCGCAGCATTCGCCAATGACGGCTTCTCAACGAAGAACGGAGACAACGAGAGCCTTCTCCCTGGAACTTCTAACAAGTTCCGTCGTCATCCTTCAAACAGCGATGAAGATATTTGAGACACTAACTAACATAACACATAACTAATCCAAATTAATGCATGCATTCCCAATAAATTCTTGTGTCAACCTCATTTTTGTATAATTATTTCTCAAAAGCTGCGTGATAACCCGATTATTATCGAAATGCATTGAGCTTGGAATGGATCAGTTTCATATTTATCGATAGCTCGCGAGCAATGGTAAATAAATATCGCTAGAAATGTTGTAATAAATGCTTAGCAAAAGAGGCGAGCATCGAAGCATGCGACCGGCAATGTGGTCGAAGATGGCACAAGTCGTAACAAAAAAGATAACAATGATAAAAAAGACAAAAAGCCGGGAGTGTTTCGCCGAATTGGCTTGGCGATCTCGACTGAGAAATCGGAAGTTGGAAGCACATTGAAACGAAAAAGGAAAGCGGCGGCGAAGAAGCGAAGCGAACGTAAATGATTCAACTGATTTTTGTTGACAATTTTGGTCAAAATTTAGTCGCTTTAGGAAAACGGCGATCGACTCCAATTCCTATCGATACCAAAGTCCATTTTTCTTTTAGCAAGGCACGAACTAATATTCCGGTATAGAAGCTTTTCAGATTACCATATTTTTTATTTCCGCTTTGTAGTTGAAAGGCGAAAAAATCAGTGACGGACAGAAGCTGGCCTTTCAGAAGTTTGCAAAAGAGCTGGTTCGAAAAGGTCCTGTTGAATTGTCGGTTGAATTCATGACAAAAGTCAAACCATACATAGGACAGCCGATGCGACGAGAAGCTTTTGATGCGAATATGACCAAAAATCGGTATAAGGGTGAGAAATCACATTGAATCACTTCATTAATATGATTCGATTTCAGATATAATTTGTAATGATATTACACGGGTCCCGATTCAGGATGGACGCGAAGATACGCTCGGCGATTATATTCATGCGAATTATGTTAATGGCTTAGTGGTGCCTTTTATATTGACGCAGGGCCCTATGGATCGGACCACGATCGATTTTTGGAGGATGATTGTTCACACAAAAACTCAGTATATTGTCATGCTATGCGAGGTCAGCTTTTCAAAGGAAAAACAATCAATTGGTTAATTGATTGCTATAGAAAAAATATTGCAGACAGTTGAAGATAATAAGCAGAAATGTTTTCAATATTGGCCGGACAAGGTTGGACAAACGTTGACATTCGGAGATTTCACAATAACAAATAAAACTGAAGAGGACAAAGATGAGCATATTATCAAAACGTTGCTGTCGGTGAAGGGTGGTGAAAAAGAATTGCTGGTGAAACATCTTCACACGAAGACTTGGCCCGATAAATCGGTTCCAAACTCGTCGATGTCGCTTCTTCGCCTTCTCTATATCGTGCGAACAGCGACTGGACCTGTTGTGGTGCATTGCTCAGCTGGAATTGGAAGGACGGGAACCTTTGTGAGTTCTTATTTCACTATTAGCAATCAAGTTGTGTGCGAGTGTCATAGGTAGCCACAGAAGCTTGTCTGCAAACACTGATGGACGAGAAGGATCTTGATTTGATCGCGTGCATCAAGGCACTACGAAGTAGTTGATAAAAAACGATTGACGAGTCATCTCCCATCAGAAGCATTTTTTTGACGTTGTCTTTCTCTGTTTGAATTTTTACAGTTTAACACAATATCACACAAAAACTACATGCTTTTACAATTCTACCATTTGGAGATATAGTTTAGAAAATTTTTTGGGAGATGATTTAAACTTCTCCCCGATAATGAATAATGGAATCATATTCTTCAGATAGTCGACTTTCGAGTGTTCAGGTGGATGTTCAGTATATGACTCTGGTGCAAATATTGTTAAATTATGGCAAGGACAATGGATTTTGGGAGGATTCTGACTTGGATGATGTAATCGATGTTTTGTGGAAAAAGAAACTTTCTTTTTCAGAGAATTGAGCTTCTTACGTGGAATATTGCCCAGTTTGTCCAAACTCGCGGACGACCGCCTGTCGAGCAACTCCATCCGGTGCCGGCTCCACCGCCAACTCCATTGCCTCCATCGGTTCCATCAATTCCGACTGTTCCATCTCCAGTTCCGCCAGTGGCAAAAGAAAAGGAGAAAGACAAAGAGAAGAAGGAGAAGAAAGATGAAAAGGAACGAGATGGTACCAAGGAAGATTCGGAAGATAGCGACAATCTGGACAAGATCAAGAAGGAGCGCGAGAAAGAGAAGGAAGAACGAAGAGAGAGGGACAGGCAGGAAAGACAAGAACGAGAGAAGCATGAGCATGTGAAGGGAACAAAACCGTCTCATGCTCAGCCGAATGCCGGACCATATCATACTCCGATGGCCCCACAAACAACACCACCAGAAGACGATAAATCGCCTGCAGTGCTCGCAGACATGGAAGCGGCGAAGAAGAGCTCGCCGCCGAAGCCGCAACCAGCAAGGAATGTGTCGGTGATGACGGTGCCTGTAGTACGAACCGGAGTGCCTAGCGACAAGTTGAGAAGTGGCGAGTTAATCGAGAAGTTGGATAGTGCTGATAAGGCAATTTTGTTTCGTATTCGGTTTGGAATTGTGTTTCTTTTTCTTCAGGCTAAAAAAACGCAAATGGGTTATGGAGTTGGAGAAGTGAAGAAAATCGTGTTTGTGCCGTCGAAGGTCACCTCAGCTGAAGCGATTCCGAAGGATATTCCACCGCAAAAACAAGACAAGAATCCGCCGGTTCATGAGGTATTTGCCATGAATTGCGATTATTTGATTTTTTGTTGTTCCTTCAGTGCAAGAGCTCGTATTTGTAAAAAGAAGAAAGTTGATGAATGAAGATCTAAACTTAGCATGTTTTACAATACTAAAATGAATAATTTTATGCACTTTTCACTTCACTTTTTGAACATTTTGATGATTCTCGTTGTATAAATTGAATTTTGATGAATTAATTTCAGATTTCTTTCCATTTTTGCAAATGTTTGTTCAAATATTCAAAAAAAAAATAATCTGTTTATTAAATGTATATTGATTAATGGTTTTGCTGAGACACAAAATATTAAGGCTCATAGAGACTACAAGAACACACTAATATTAATCTTATTATTGCTTGAATGGAAACGAAAGAGACTCTAAAAACCGGACAAAGTTTGAAACAATGAAAAAAAAAAGAAGAAAACCTAAAAAAAAATCAATTATTGCGAATGAAGAAGGGGGTTGAAGAAATAAAGTGACAAAAATTCGATGACTAATATAGGCATTTCTCGGGATTTGAAATGGATCGAATTGAATTGAATCGAAATCCGAATGGATTGTGGGTGTGGTTGATGGATTGAAGAGGAGGAGGAGGAGGCAGAGTGGAGATCAACAAATTATTCGTCTTGGAAACACTTATTATTTCTTATTATTATTATTATTACTATTATTTTAATATTATTATTATTATTAATTATTAATATTATGAACTTTTCCTCAAACAAAAAAGAGAAATAATGGGAAAAACCAGTTTCGTAAAGCAAAATACATACAAAGTTGGCAAATTTTGTCAGAAAAATATTTTTCTTTTTTTTTTTGAAAAAATTAAAAACAAAAGTGACTAAAAATCAATTCTGGATGGCATTTTTGAATTGAAGATGTGGGAAAGTTGTCAAATGCATCAAATAGTCGGTTTTAAGGCAGAACAATGAGGTGCACAATTTGCACGAGTAATGGATTTGAGTGAGGGTGAGCATCTGGAATCGAACGATTTTTGGAAAACGCTCTCGATTTGGGGCTTACCGAATCACAGGAATTGCACATTTGCATGGTTTTCTGGTGCTCTTTGAGCTTCTTCTCTTCTTGGAACACGTTGGTGCACGACGGACAAGCCCAACCAACCTACAAATATGTATATTCCATATAAGGACAATGAAATGTTTAGTGAATTGATTGCTTACGTCTTTCTCGATCGCTTCAACATTCGATTTTTCATCATCGGGCAGCGCTTCTCTAACGGATTCGATCGTGTTGGCGTCTTGCGAGAAAACCGTTGACGTCTTTCCATTAGCCAAATCATTTGTGATTTGAGTTTTGACGTCGTCGGGAATCTGGAGCATCGCGATTGGGGTTCCGAGCAAGTTGACATCCAAAAATGGAAGACCACCAGCCATCATTAAATTGAATGGGAAGGCGGTGAGATCAATGTTCGATGATGATGGTTTCATTGATCTGAAACCCGAACGATTAGATTTGATAAAACCGAAATTCGACCGACTTCCTCTCAGGAGCGGCTGGCTCAATGGCTGTCGAAACATCTGAAACTCCTTCCTTCTTCAAATTGCTTCTGAGCAAAGTCACATGCTCCTTCGAGAACAAATGGTCTTGAAGGGCAAGTCGTGTCGGGAATTGCTTATCGCATTGTTCGCAGCTGGTCTGATGTGATTTGAAATCCTCGTCGCCTGAATTCGATCATTTTAATGCGAAAAAGCAAAAACGAATACCATGCCCTTTTGTCTTCCTTTCCTTGGCCCGCGCATTTTGAAACCACACCTGCACCACTCGCTTGTGCAATCCGATCTCCTTTCCGAGCATCTCGCACTCAGCCATCGACGGGGTCTTGTATTCAGCGAACGTGTTCTTCATCACCTGCACTTGCAACGGAGTCAGATGTGTTCGATATCGTTTGTTGTTCGCTGGCGATCTGCAATCAGGATTTCCGGATACCGGAATCCCGAACGTCGCGAACGCCGAGTCATCAAGAGCCTCGGTAACGACGTCGTCATCGCTTCTCGTCGGACTAGTGGAAATCGAATCTCGTGACATATCAATCCCCGATCCGGAAAGATCCAAGGCAATCGAATCTCGTCCTGGTTCGGGAGTCGTCGAAATATCGGGAAGCATGTCGACGTCGATCGGCGTGATGAGCATAATCTGAGGGTGCTCTTGTTGAAGGTGCTCAACCATTGCCGACTTTTCGCGGAAGTTGCTTGTGCAGAATGGGCACTGTTTGTGGAAAGACGAGGTGCTCGCCGAGCTCATCGACTCGCACATTTTCAGCAAGACGTCGTTGCTGGATTTCGGATCACCGAAGAGTTTCAGAAGATCCGAAGGCTGGAAGTTGGCGAGTTGCGCGGCTTGCTGTTGGGCGAGAAGCTGACGTTTCTCCTCGTCGCTCAACGATTCTTCAACACTCTTGTTGTCGCTGGCGAGAGCTGCTCCGTCGTCCTTGTAGCACTTCTTCTGCTGATGCTGGATGAGCTCATAGTATCTTTGGAACACCTGATTGCATCGTTTGCATTGGAAATTGCTGCCAGGCGTGCGCACGAATCGATCAGAATTCTCGTGGTTCGGGTGATTCTCATAAATTTTTCGCGCCTTCTGCCTCGCATTCTGGAACCACACGACAATCACTCTCGGACTGAGCTGCAGCTTCTTGCTGAGAACTTCAAGATCGTCATCCTTTGGATAAGCCTGTTTGTCGAAGAACTGTTGAAGTGTCTTCAATTGATAATCAGTGAATCGTGTGCGATTCGCGCGGCGCCCACTAGACGACGTCGCGTTTGTCTGCTGAGGTTGAGGCGGCTGAATCTGAGCCATCGGGCCGCCGCCAGCAGCGGCTGCCATGAATGTCGCATCAAGGAATGGGAACGTGTTGGCGTGCTGGATCTGAGAGAGCATTGCTTGCAGATTGAGCTGCTGCGATTTCTCCTTCTTCTCATCGACGGCAGTTGACGTCGTCATGGATGGCGTTGTGGGTGTGGCGCGAGCCGAGTTCACTTCAGATTTCGGGCGTTTCATCGAGCTCTGAAATACGACGAATCAAAATGAGATTTGGTTCTTTTTTCGTCTTCAATATATAAATCCCGCATTCAAATTCAATCGATTAATTACATTTTCAATCTGCGGACATTTCGCGAATTCGTCACGAACCTCGCTCGACAACGAGACGACTTTCGCCTCGCCGGTCTTCTCATACGTATCCAAATCGATGCCCAATTGTGGAGGCACATTGAAATTATACGGCGAGTCTTTATCGCGTTGCCTCTCCTGTAAAAAAAAGGTGGGTGAAATCAATTTATTGTTATTATTGTGAGGTGAGTCATCCGGAAATTGAATACCAGCCCCATTTTCTCCTTTCCAACCGTCGCAACAAATGTCATGAGAAAGATTATTTAGAGGAGGATTCGTCAATTGTTTGCCATTCAAGGCGAAAATCGGTTTTGTTTGTTTGCACGCTTCAATATATATAACCTTTTCCGATGACTAATTATATGTGATTCTCACATACGGGCACACACATTCATACAAGTCATACCACTAATAAACAATAAATATATAATATAATGTGCAAATAAACATTGTCTTTACCTTGAAGAGTGTGTTGCGGAACCAGTGTTTGATCACCTTCTCCGGTAGGCCCGACTTCTCCGACATTTCCTTGACTTGCGCCTCGGTTGGACTGTTGTTGATGTTGAAATATTGCCTGCAATTCATTATCGATTAGCGGCCGTCGGATCGGCGAATGTGGAAACCTTAAGATTTTGAGCTGATCATCGGTGATTCGAGTTCGAGCACGTTTCGCTGGCGAGTTGTTGGCCGCGTTGGCAGCGGCGGCAGCGGCGGCGGCAGCCGCTGCCGGATTCAGCATTGTGTTGAACATCTCCTGCGGAAGACCGAACGGGCCGCCGGCTCCCGTTGTCGGAGGCTGCGCGCCCATAAACGGGAATCCCATCATCTGCGAGAACATGGCGATTTGAGAAGCCATGTCGATGTTCGGAAGGCCGGCAGCCGCCGCCGCCGCCGCCGCCGAAGCAGCATCCTCGACCTTGAGTCGTTTACGCGCCGGCGGCTCATCCTCGCTTCCATTCTCGCTGATCGCTTCCGGCGATGTTGGCAATTTGTCGTCGAGCGCCGACAGCAGCCGCTCGCCAAACTTCTTGAGAACCTCATTCGGAATACTCGCCGAATGCGCTTCTTCGTAATGCAGATTGATTCCGAGAATTCCGCTGACTTGAAGTCCGCAAGTGGCGCAGTCGATTCGCGCGAGATCGGCGCATTTCGCATCGTCGAGCTGCGCGATTTTGTCGATTTTCGCGGCGAGACCCGCGACGAGACCCGTGATCTTCTCCTCGCCATAAACTTTTATCTGTGTCAGCATTTGTAACCCGTTCATCTCTTCTAAATCGAAATCAATTATATTGATGATAAAAACCAAAAAAAGTAAGAAGAATCTTACCTCGATTCTCATCGGATTCATTTCGCAAAAGAAGCGACATCACATCGTTCATTGTCATCTGTTTGGCGGTCTGAATCGGCACATGAATTGCATTTGGAAATCCGGCGGATCGTACCTGTTCAATGAATTGTCGAATCGACGGATTCGACACACCGGGCTGCTCAACAATCGGCTTCTCGCTGTCGACCTCGTTGCCGGCAACCAGTTCGGGAAGGCGCGTCATTCGCGTTTGATGAGCCACCGATCTCAAATCAACCAAATTTTAATTATTTTTCTGGCCCTCCCGTTTCGCATCATTCTCATGATAACGACGAATCTTTTCATTAAAACCAGCCGTCGTTGGCTTCTTTTTTTTTCGCTCAATTTCTGCGATAAAAACACACGCGCACAGACAAATGAATTTGTTGGGCTCAATTGTGGTGCAATTGAATATTGATGGAAAAGATGATCATGGGAAATTGCATTAGTCATCAGCACACAAAAAATGCCTTCATTTTGTTTTTTTTTTTTTGAGAAATCAAAATAAATATATTTGCTCGCAAAATGTCTTATTTGGATTTTTTTTCTCCAAATTAATATTCATTTTTACCTTCAACTACGACGAAACAAAACAAATTCTAATTCTAGTTTTCGATCTGCGGACATTTGAGATCGAATCGAACCCAATTTTTTTGATTCTATCATTCACCTTATATGGATGTCGAGTGAAGCGGCCTGTGCATACGATTGTTTGCAGACGTGGCACCGAAATGATTTCTCGCAATTGTCGCCAAGAACCGCGGCGGCGAACTGAAAAAAAAAGAAGAAAAATATTCGAATTGAGAGGATTTTAATCCTTTTGCGGAGGCTAAGCGAGTTTGGTGGACTCACCAAACAATAACAATAATCATCATCAACATCATAATAATAATGGTAATAATAAAAAGTCAAATCCCTCAAAACGCGGTCGACGTCTCGCATCGCCAAATTTGGTCATCAAGCTGATTACTGTAGAAGTGAGATTAGAGAGAGAGAGAGAGGGAGAGAGAGGGAGAGAGTGTGTGTGCGCGTAAGAGACGACAGAGAAGCAGAATAACCCGCGCGATTTTTGACGAGGCGGCGAAAAATGAGAGAAATGTTTGTGAATATATGTGTGTGTGTGTGCACTGTGTGTGTGTGTGTGTGTGTACGCGTTAATGCCTACCAGATCAATCTCTTATTGTATTTGTCCTCATCTATTTCACACGAATTGTTTGCTAACACGGTACAAACAACTGAAATGAGGCCTGGTGCCGGCCTGCCCTGAAGGGCGCGCGTCCGTCTTGTTGTATTTTAGACTAATAATATTATAAAAGACGATCGCAAGTCAAAAACTCGTGCCGAACACCCAAATTCGTCCTTTACAGCACTTCATTTCGGGATTAGTTTGCCGGATTACGACATTTTACGACGCCTTAAGTCGCTTGAACTATTTTGATCTACCATTTATGATTGTCGTGCTGCACGAATATTTACATTATTATAAAACATTTTAATTTCCAGAAATTCACTCTTCATGTCTGCGGACAACTCCCGGGTTCGCCATATTGATTTGTCCGTCAATTTAAAGCCAATATGCAGACACATTTCAAAAACACTTATTAGAGATTGACTTCCTAGTTGCTCTGATATATAAATTGAGTATCTGCGGACAATTTCCGGGTTACGCTATACAACGAAATTACAAAATTTCATTTCGAAATTAGGAATTTGTGAGAAAAATTCTTTGATAATGATAAAGAGGCGAAAAATTGGAATCGCAAAGAAATTGAGGTGGGGGGAAGGGGAAGAGGAGGGGAGGGGAGGGGGAGTTAAGGTCTTATCATAAACCGTTTTCAACCCCCCGTAAGTTGCTTCAGTGAATACGAAAATGACAATGAGAATACTATACGCATGTTTCAGTTTGGTTTCCAGAAGACGGCGTCGATGACGATTGAGGAGAACGAGGAGAAGACGACGACGAAGAAAAAGAAGAAGAAGAAGAACACCCCAGCATCGACCATTTTTCTACCGTAATTGATGAGCAAACAAAACCAAAGCGTGTGTTGGCGTGTGCGGTGAAAAAAAAAACGCTTGCCCACCCTATGGCGACGACGACGACGAAAATGCAATCAATTTGTGGTTATAGGTTTTTTTTTGGCGAGAAATGAGAGAAACCATGATGAAGAAGACGACGACGAAACGAATCACCATTGAGGAAAGGTACGAGGCTGAGCGCACACGATCGCGCGCGCGAAACATCACGGTTTACAATCAATTTGCATAATCTATTTGGCAAACTTGCGTTGATGATTCGACAAGTTTATGTGTGAGAACTGACACCGGCAGGCACCCTCTTCCGATCGCCGTAATTGTCCGCAGATCGAATGCTTCAACACACTCAATTCTCATTGGGGTCTCTCAAAGGGGAGTCATTGATGGAGATCGGCTCTCGCTGATGCCGCATCGACTAGATTATTTAAAGCGAAATGACGATTGTGCAAGAGCGAATCAATATGTGCTGAAACATATGCGGACATCGTTCCGGGTTTGGTCGCCACAAAATCGCTATTTGGTCGAAAGAAATGGTAATCGCAAAACCGCAAAAATGGGTAAAAACGATGTGATGATTGTAATAATAAATAAAAGGTGGTTGGACGAAGAAGCGGGTAAAACGACGCGGGGGCGCGAAAAAATAATTGGCGATTTCGCCTCAACCGACGACCGACGACAGGCTTCGTCGGCTCCCTTTTGATGGCTTCATCAATTGATTGCCGCGTCATAAAAATCATAAACCCAAATCACCGCAGTGGGCGACCGACGCTCGTCTCGCTCTTCCGCCTTCTTCCTTCTTCTCCACCTCCACACATCATTCCAGCACACCACCTAATTGCGACGACACGACAAGGACTACTGTAGGTGATTGGGAAAGACATGCATGCACTGACAAAACCAAGAAAAAAAAAGCAGCATTATTATGCGATCAATCGAAATGAATAAAAGGCGCACGAGAGGCGAACGACGAGAACCATCATGATGATGATGGTGATGATGATGATGATGATGATATAATGCAAATAAATGATTACGGTACCTGTTGAGTGTTAAGATCGACCGTCGAGTTTTCGAGATGCTTCTTCGCGTGTTGTAGATGCCTCGTCGTGTGCAGATGATTCAAAAACTCCTCCTTTGATGAGAATGATTCAGAGCAAATATCGCAGAATTCGTTCGAATGCTCCATCATGTGTGCCTATCAAAATCGGAAGTGTTCACCGCGGAATCTCGAATCGAACGACTATACCATTAAACTTTCACTATCGTCAAATGATTGAGCGCAAGTTGGACAGCTCTGATGCGTTGTGAAGACGTGCTCGACGATGTGCGATTTGAGCTGCGAGTCGCTTCTGAACGCCATCGGGCACTTGGCGCATCGATGCTGGAAGTCGTTGTCCGACGATGACGATTCCCTGCAAAACGATTCTGATGGAATGTCTCGATGGCGAAATCCTCAAATCGACACCATACGAAGTTTCGAAATTCCGAATCAGCGCTTCTAAGTGAGTAGTAGAAAAGGTGGTGGTAGAGCAGAAAAAAAAATAAAGAGAGAGAGAGAGAGAGAGAATAAATGCGAAAGCCGAATTGAATGAAATGAATGAATACGAATGAATAGAAAATGAAAAATCGAATGATGAATATTGATTATGGAATGGAAAATGGTGGAGAGTCTCGAACGAATCGCGAGTCATGTGCGGGAATAATTACGAATGCAAAATAGGCGGCACAAAACACCCGAAACTATATCATCGAGGGAAGGGGGGGGGGATGAAGTGCATCATCATCATAGCCATATTAGGTCATCCCACCGCCAACTATTCTCTGCTCGTCGATTCCATCGATGGGCATCTAATCCGACCCCCCCGTCCCCCCCGGTAACCCAATGCCTACCAAAAACACAACACTAATTGCGATGATCGCCTGGTTTTCTCCACCCATTACCAGTGCAGACCATCTTCTCTTCCTCCTCCCACTCCTCGCTCGCCTCCCATTCGCTTTGCTTCGCCTCGTGTAAGCCTAGCGGCGAAATTATGCGAGGCGCAGGTTGGGAGAGAGAGAGAGAGGGAGAGAAGAGGTGGTAATTCGGAGTGATGAGACTCGCTCTCGCTCTCTCTCTAGCATTTTCCCTCAATCTTTCGCTTCCCCGACGATGACACACATGACTACTGTATTTAATTATTTTTGGCCAAAAACGTGAACAATTAGACAATTCGTATCGTTCGCTCGTTCTACTCTCGGAGTTGTTCGATTTCGTTTCAACTATTCGATTCCCCACCCCCACCCCGCCTCCGATTTTTCGCTGTTTCAAGTGCGCATACCTCTTTAAACGATGGTTCCGCTATTTTGCCGAAAGTACAGTGTTTGAAACCTCCAACTTTCGCTTAATTATGAACACATTCATTTTCGATTGTGTCTGCGAGTTGTCGTAAGGTATGGCGTTTATACGCAGAAATTCAGAGGCTCGATTTACCGCGATGGATTTAAATGATAATTGCTAATTAAAAATCGTATCAAAAAATTGCTATCAATTAATTAATTCTGCAAATTGTCGTAGGGTTCTGCGTTTTCCAAAAATAATCGCCACTTCGTTTTCGAATTGCCTAGACCTACCGTATACATTAAAGGCGCGTGCTTACTATTTGCTCATCAAAACGTTGTCACATCATCAACGAAGATTAATTAAATCGCAAATTGCGCAACTATTATTTACAGATGAGTCAGAGCAACGGGCGGATAGTGTAATAATTGATCGGTTCGGCGGGTCTCGAAGCGAAATCGGATGACAAGGAACAAAAATAATAGCTATCGTTTAACAGCAAATGATTGGCTGTGAGCGCGGCGAGACGCCAAGTTTGCGCAAAGGGGCGGGGCCTTCGATCGACCATTTATGTACAATAGAAAAAGGCGAACGAGGGGGGGAAAACGGGTGGAGGCGAAATGTGGAGAATAGGTTAGTTGGCAACTAACTATGCGGAACGGTAGATCGAAATAATCAACATCGGACGAGAAGACTCACTTGTTCTCAACGAGCAACAGCTTCTCGATAGTGCTTCCCGATATTTGATGGTCCTGAACGAAGGAATTTGATACTCGAGATTCGTTTAAAGGCGCATACCGAAATGAGGTGTTTCTCGAGATCGATGCACACCGAACACGACGACGATTTCTTCTGTTGTCCGGGACTCGCCGAATCGCGCTCTTCTTCGTGTGATTTCGCGTGCTCTTCGAGATCGGCGACCTCTTCTGCAATTCGAATCGTTTTTTTTTGTGCTATCCGAAATAATCGGTTCTATTATTTGTTTAAAGGGAGGTCGCGTTGTTCTTGAAAACATTAAAGACCGAGAAAGAGAGAGAGAGAGAGACAGAGAGAGAGAGAGACAGAGACAAAAGAGTGAAGATGGGAAAAGTTTTCAATATTTTGCTCTTTGAATATTTCTAAGAAAATAGTGATTAAAATCGACATTTTAGTTATTTTTAAAAAATTAATTTAAAGGAGCATTGATACTCAAGGTTATTCAAATGAAAATAATAATTTCAACCATTCCATTTCTACGGAGAATTCGACATGAAGCTCTTCCTCTGTCGGCTCATCGAACGTCCGCAATTTGTCGTAACGTGTATTGTTTGCAAGGTTGGCGAAAAAACCATATAAATTTCGTCGAATCGTATAAAAATCAAATTTCGCGGTCATAAACGATTCGACAAATTCCGGAATATCAAACAAAAAATCAAAACGAGAAAAAAAAGAAGTGATGAAAGAGGTGGGAGAGGAAGACGAAGAAGAGGGGGAAAAATTGAATTGGAACCGACCGAGTGCGTCGATTGAATGCCTAATCATCGCAGCCGCAATTCGCGCGTTATCATTCATTCGATGAGCACACGAATCGCGAAAAAAAAATATATAAAAGGCGCGAGAAATGAACAATTATCATTAAATGACGAGCGGGGCCCGAACGCGCATCGATAATTGCCATTAAAAGATGAAAGGGAGGAAGCCGACAAGACAAAGGTAGACGGGTCGACAACGGGCCGCTCTGATGAAGCACCATCACCCGGAAAACCACCGCAACAATGCGCCAAAATTTCTGTTTTCAATTTTTTTTTGGGTGGAGGGGGGATTGAAAACAGAGACATTGAATGGAACTGATACCTGCCTATTCAAAATGGCGGTAAATATGAAAGGGTTCGAATAGGCGGTGTGGAAAAAAAAAACAAAATGAGGTGGGGCCGCGAATGAATGAAGAAAGAAGTGAAATGAAGAAGAAGAAGAAGAAAGAAAGCGTCATCTAACGAGGCTGGTGCCGTGCACAAATGAGCGAGTTATGAGGTGCGGTACTGGGCGCCGTCAAAACGACTCGAAAACGCAATAATATTAATAGGGCGATTGATGAACGCTTTTTCGACAAAACGCCGATTTGCATGACGTCGGCTCGAATCCCGCCGGCAGGTATCTTCGGTCGACTACTAGCCGACGGCGACGTCGAGCCGACGGCGCTGGTTGCGACATTTGTGCGGTGGGTGCGCGTCCGCAGATGGCGAGCCGCATTTCAGTGAGCAATGTTATATATCGAAAATGACCAGCATAAAACTACAACGATAACCAATTTTGATCATATGAACCAAAAATACACTGCATATTTCATGGGAGATTTGCCGCAAAAAGTACATAAAATGTGGCCATTCAATTCATCCAATATAATTATTTTAAATGCTCAATATATATATAGCCAGTTAAATTATTATTATTATTATTATTATTGTTGTTATTAGTTTGGATTTTTTGACAATGATGATCGTCAACGAACAAAAAACCGGATCCGGGGGAGGTGGGAGGAAGGAGCTTGGGGGGAGGGGGGCTGTCGAACATATATACACACGCGCACACACACGGACAGACAACACACAACACAAAAATTGAAATGAAATGAAATGAAATGCGAAAAGAGTGAGATTGGTAGGCAGGTAGGTAGGTAGGCAAATGACAGGAGGCCCGGAGAATTAGTTGCCAATTAAACCCCGCTGATCGTTGCGCGCACCACACACGCACACGACGAATTCATACAGGTATTATTCATTCTAATTCGCCAATTAATGAACATTGTCGAAGCGAATCGAATCAAAATCGAGTGAAACAAAAATGCGCGGTAGTGGAGCGGCATCGAAATTGGAACGCGCGCGCGCTCGCGCAGCGCAAAAACGCGATACACCACGAGCTACGTTGAGGGTCGGGAATTTATCAGCGAATAAGTGTGTTATGAACTCACTAGTAGTAAACCCGCATCCAGCGCATGCATATGCTGCGTCGTCGACCATCGCGAATTCTGGAAATAATTAGAATTCATTCAATTGTTAACATTTTCACAATATTCGTCTAATGATTGAATCGAGGCGAAAAAAAAATCGCGAATGAGAGCCCCAATAATGGCTGATTAATTGAGGCAAGTGTAAGAGTATAACGGCTGATGAATGGCAACACAAATTGGATTTTTTTTCAGCCAGTGAATAAGCATTGCGTCTACAGTAATCGTCATCAAAAACAATTTTTAATGATTTTTCTTGGGTGTGTGAGCGCAAGATTGGTGTCGGGTCGGTGCCCGAGCAAAAGGTGATCATATAATTATGCGCGCGGGTGTTAAGCGTGTGACTCGTCGCCGAAATCAAACAAATGTCCCGCCCGTATTCATTGCCTTTTTTTGGTGCGGCCCGCCGAGAAATGCGCCACAAAAAATATAAAAATTCATAGGCGAATCGTTTCAAATCAGAAAATCGCGTCGAAAATACGCAAATTGGCGTCATTGACATTGCAGACAAATTGCATTTACAGTAATCACATTTTCATGTTATTAATAGAGAAAAACAGAGAAATGTTCGAAAATCGATTCGAATTAGATTGGTTTTTTTTTGGTGTAATTATTCGTCAATTATGGTGTAAATGAGCACAATAGAATAGAATTGGGGAAAAAAAAAGTTTGATGGCGAGAAAATGGGACCGAAAAGGCGCCCAAATTGGGGGGATGTGTGTTTGATTCGTTTAAGACTCTGTAATTTTCTCTCAATTCGCCTAATTTCTTGAATGCGAAACTCGACGGAGCCCAAAATGTGGGCGGAGTCATGAGCTCTGCTAGCGAGCGAGCGAGCGAGCGCGCGCGCGCGAGAAAACCAAAACAAGCCTCTAATTCGGACCCATTACATTAAACAGCGCACAGCGCTTCGGGACCACACAACTCAGATGGCGAGAAAGGCGAAATACGCATACGTCAAAAAATCGACGAGAGAATAGAGTGGCGCATTCATTTCAAAAGTTTTGCGCCACGGACGAACGGGATCCCCTCGGGAGAAGATATCAAACCAAGTAAACGGGCATATCGAAGACGGACCACCAAAATGCGCGGCGCGTCTTCTCGGCCGGCTCTTTTGCGCCAATGAGCCAATTGCTTAATGCGGTTTCCTTGCATTTCTACACTACTAACATTTTCGAGGGGGATGAATCTTAATTCCTCAGTTTTTCTCTCATTCAATTACTGTATTTCGAAGTTTTGAGCCGGGCTCAAACGACACTCCATGTGTACACCATTCATCACCCTGATTTTATCTGGTGACTGTTCGGGTTTTTTCGAAAAAAAATTCTAAAAATTTAAAATTTCGTTGATTTTTGGCAATTTTTTTCAACAAAAAAAAACAACAACAATTTATCTTGGAAGAGAATTGAAATCAAAATTCTTTGGTGGCTTGGAAGAAAAATTGAATTAATTTCCAATTTCCTGACTGAGTTTGGCCGCGTCGGCGAATTTCGTTGTTGGCGCGAAGAGAAAAAAAATAATGAGCAGCTCATCAGCGGCGACGCGCATCGCGCAGACCACAGGATAATCACTGATTAAGCGCGACGCAAGCATAATGGAAGTATTGTGGGAAATCTGTGGAACGGAAGCATAATGATTCCATATAGGAAGCATAATGTAATTCTTAGTGGCTGTGGAAGAATTATGGGACGAATATGGATGGAATGAAAACGGGATGAATATGCTTCCGGTGTTTGCGAGCCGTGGAACGAATATGGATGAAATATGGATAAAATAATCATATATCATTACACATTATACAATTGGCGTCTGGACGGCAGACCAAGACAATTTCTAGAAAAATCAATACAAAAAACTTATGCTATCATATAAACAATGAAAATTTGAAAATTACATGATACACAACATACGAAATTTAGCTTCTACCATTTAATGACTTATGCTACTCAGATTTATGTTAATTCAGTCAACTGTTCCTTACTTTGTTTAAAGATTGCCAACTACAATTTAGTCGTATTAATATATTTTTGCCGGTTTTTCCGAAATTGGCATCGCAAACTACTCACAATTTGCTCCAAACTGGTAGCAGACGCGCGTAGAAGAGGCGTGCCGCAGCATTGCAAAACCGTGCGCCGCTTTGCACAATGCGGCCACGCCTCACATTTTCGAAATTCGTTTTCAAAATTTTTGTCCTTTTGCTTTTTCTCAATGAATTTTCAAGATTTTTTTGTGTTTTTTTTTTGTCAAAAATTAAAGAATTTTTTTCAAAATTAAAGGAAAAATGTTTTTAAAAAATAAAGGAAAAATTTTCATGTTTATCATTTTCATGTTTATCATCATTCGAAAATTTTAAAATCGATACGATGTTTTCAAATCGTTTCCGACACTTTTAAAATCGAATTTAAATATTTTCTCAATCGAATTGTGTTTAATTTCTCATCGAATCCGTTTTATTTTTATTTACTTTAACATATTTTTTATTATCGCTCGCTTTTTTTTTTTTAATAAAACATAATGTTTTGAAATTTTTTACAGATGAAGACAAGATCGAGAGTGTTGTCAGATATAACTGAAACTGCTCTAGAAGTCAATAACAAAGAACCAGAAGTCCCTAACATGGAACCAAATTCGCTCGACACTTCAGATCCAGATAGTCCAATTTACTCGCCAACTCAGCAAAAAAATTTTTCTCCACAGTCCTCACAAACAACAAAATCAACGCCAATTCCTAAACCTTCGTACGCGCAATTTGTAAGTTGTTATCATCAAAAATTGGCCTGTTCGACTCCAGAAATGGTTTCAATTAGAAAAATATGCGCAATGAAGTCTTTATAAAGTACTTCCTAAGTTTAAAGCTTGTTGATTATTTGGTTCCAATCAGGGCTGTGCGGCAATGGAATTGCCGATTGCCGAAATTGCCGGTTTTTCAAATTGCCGAAGAAAATTTCGATCGGTAATTTGCCATTAGCCGAATCGCCGAAATTTCCGATTGCCGTACAGCCTTCGTACCAATATCATTCAGTGGCATTTATCTTTTTAAGTGGGGCTCTAGTACAGAAGTCGCCAGACGCCGACTATATAAAGATCCTATACTTTATTGCAAATATCTATATTACAGATGTTCTTATCCATGGCTTTGGGCAACAACCGACAAATGACTTCAAAGCGAAAGCATTACGCATGGTTCGAGAAGTCATGGATAATCTTCTGTAAGATTTTGAGCTATGACTATTAATTTATTTATTTGATTAAGCGATAGAATGCGCCAACGACTTTAAAGGAAATTTGGTGTAGCGCCGGAAGCGCTCGCGGCGCAATTAAGGAAGCTGCTTGATTCTACCAGCAACCCTCAGATGTGAGTATTCATATGTCTTTGAAATTTTAACCAAAATGCCTTTTTGCTTCAAATTTTGGAGTTGTTCTTTCTTCCGCCAATTCACTTTTTATTTTGTGCACTAAAGGGTTTCCAAAAATGCAATAAAAATAAATTATTTTTATTTTTAAGAAAATTATTGATGTAAAAAAACTGATTGTATTTTCTCGAAAAATTTAGTTTACGTAACAATGGTTTACAAGTTTTTCAAATTAATAGGCCCATTATAATCGAAGTGTAGCGACTAGGAAAAGTGGAGAAAAGGTAAAAATTCGATAACGGTTTCTTTCTACAAGCGTATATTTGCGAAAAAAGGATAGGTTAAATGTGCATTAGGACTTTTGCCTAATTTCTTAGCAATAGTTGTTGTTTTTAAAAATATCATAACACGGCTTTTTAACCAAGTGTGAACGATATGAATTCTACTTATTACAGCGTCCCGCTCGATGTCAGTACTGACAATGATTCGAATAGTTCGGCAGTTGCCAGTAACTAATGGTTTGATTATATCTTAATTGAAATTCATTTCATTGTTGTTTTTTTTTTTATTTTAAATTAAATAAATGTGTTAATATGAAATAAATTTTGAATACAGCAATCAAATTGTTTTCTTATTTGCCCATATGGAAGGCATACGGCTCATTCCATATACGAAACACGCGGTTCCGCAAAAAAATGCTTCCATTATGCTTCCATATAACTTGCATATAAGATTCCTATGATATCCACAGCCGTTCCATTATGCTTCCATTGTGCCTATGCTGTCGTTTATCTGTGATGGAGGAGTGCGTGAGATGTTGCGTAACGCGCGACTGGCGACTGTTTCAATTTCATCTCGCCTCTTCAATGTTTTTGCAACAATTTTTGAGTCATCATGGCAACATATCGAATTGATGATGGGAAAATTGAATGCAAACGATTCGATCAACAACAATCAAAGAAGTGTGTGTGTGTGTGGCGCGCGCGTGTATCCGCCATTATCCGGCGCCGAAGACAAAAAGACAGTAAATACAGCGAAAAGGGCGGGGTGTCAATTTACAATTTACTCAAGTGCTTGCCCAATTTCTTTAGAATCTTCCGGAGCCGCAGGCCCGCTGCCAAAAAAAAAAATTGGCGTTGGCCGGCGCCGGGGCGAGAGGAGAAGTGAGCCAGCCGATTTAACCTGTCCATCATCATCGGGACCCTCTCGTTTATCTCGTTTTTGAGTGCGACGGGGTGGGGCCAAAAACTAGGCGAGTTTGAGCGTGTTCTGCTTCGTAAGAGAGCTCGAGAATTGGTGCAATTTGACAAGATTGTCATCAGAATAGCCCGCTAATTGTGCGTGTATATCCATAAATGGCGAGCACCAACACACGACCAGAGGCACTGATTGAGTTCGCCGGGGGTCCGACCGCCACGCTGAGAGCGGGGGGGGGGGTGGACCATTGAAATTAGGAGGGTCCACAAACAAATACCACAAATATGATTGGATTCAAGTGTTAGGTTTTCGGGGGGAGGGGGGGCACAATTCGATTGACTTGTTCTCTCAGAAAATCTCCAAATTAGGGGGTCTCTTCGAGGCCGGCTGGATATTGCCACCAGTGCCGAAAACATTCATCAACTTTCCAAATTCCCAATGGTCCCAATGGGCATCGAAAAGTCGCAAATTTGTCGGTGTGAACGCGCGAGACTCTTCCTTTTTGTTTTTTTTTTTTTTTTTTGAAAAATCTCTCAATCAACACTTTCGCGCGCATCGCATTTGACGACAATCTGCACTAAGCACACTTGAATTGACGCCAAAGTGCACCGAACATAAAATTGACGTGAAATTTATGTCGGCCCTATTAATGTCATCGTCGGTGAGGGAGTTGGGCGCTCGAAATTGTTGGGACCTCAAAAATCAGCGTACGGCAAAAAAACCGGAAACATGTCCGCAGCTCGTCGCTTTAATATGACATCAGAAAAGTATCTGCGAAGCAGAGACCCGTGAGATGTCCGCAGATGAAATTTGTCAAAGTGTGTGCCATTTAATTAAAAAAAAAACAGTAAAGCGACTCACCAAGCTTTTCGTCGGGCCAACTCGACGGCTCGTGGCAAGTCATGTGTCCTGCAAACAAAACAAAAAATCTCACAATCAAATAGATTTCGGACAAGAGAAGACACCGCCCAAAAAAAAAAACAGAAGGAGACCGCCCATTTTTATTATAGCAGTTTACACGCGTGATCGCTTCAACATCACAAGGACTCGAGTCTGAATGGCGCCCGCCAAGTCGCCGTTTAAGGCGATCAAAAAAAAAACACACGGTGTCCAGCCTACAACTCCTTGAATGAGAAAAAAATCAAGGCCAACTAGTAGAGTGCATTAATGAAACAAAAAAAAAACAACAAAATAATTGTCGGAATTGATTGGGCAGAAAAGAAATGAGGGCCGATTATGAGAGGTGGGCGGCGGGTGGCCGGCGGACGGGCGGGCGCTCGACGGCGCGCAAATGAAATGCGAATTGAATTGAAAAGGTTACAAAGCGGTCTGGATTATGACCATATATAGGGGGGTCCACTTGTCCTCGCCCGACGGCGAGAACCCCCCCAACGCTCTCTCTCTCTCTTTCGCTAGTGCAATTGTTCGAGTACCGTTTGCGTGTTGTTGTTGACCGTAATTAGGCAAATGTGATATACATGCGACCCCCGTCCCCCTAGGGGTCCTTTCAATGTTTGTTTCATACATACCTGTGGCGGCGTCGAGAGTTTCAACCTCGACGCTACAAATTTTGCATCGCCACGTTTTCACAATTTGCGCTGATTTATTGTTGTGCTGGTGTTGGTGTTGACCGATTCCGATTCCGTTTCCGTTTCCGGTGCTGCTCGACACGTGGCAATGCTCACGAAGAGCTTCGAGACTGAAATCAATCAAAACTATTGAGAGATGTCTCCAAAGAATCCGATGGTTTCATGAACCCGTCAAATGTCCGCAGGTGTATTCGAATCGATTTACACATTTTTTTTCTTATAACTCTCTATGTAATAATTCGAGTTTTCAATTGAATTGTCTAAAAAATAATTTTCTGACTCAGATTTCTCAAAATTCAAACATGGCGAGAACCTCGAAAATTGTCCGCAGCAGCATTATAATGATTGGTTGGCAGAAAATCAAAAATCATCGCAAGCGTTTAATTGGATTAAGTACGGTAGAGAATGAATTTGGTGGGAAGGGATTATTCTCACCTGGAAATGACCTCGTGGCACTGTCGACAAAGCACTTGAACGCACGTCTTGGTGGTGGCGAGCCGATAAATGGCAGTGTGTGGTCGCGAGCCCTCGCGAAGATGATTCGCCTGCAAATCGCCATTTTTTTCGCGGATTAGCCGTAGAAGATGAGCGAGAAAACGAACGGACCATTTAGAGTGTCAAGTGGTCCCAACGACAGCCGATCAATGGGGGGGGGGGTGTCTCGCACACCCTCCTAATGATTTATAATCGGCCGACCCCCTCTCTTTCATATTCCTCCCCAATTCAACGCTTATATTCTTCATTTATTATGCTAATTTTATTATGGTTTTGAGAGAATTGCCAAGATGATTTCGATGAATAAGAATGGAATCATCGGTCGGAATCTGTTAATGAATGGAAATTGGCGCCGCCCGACCATTCGATTATAATTATGAACAACAACAGTCCTCTAAAAATTGGCCTATTGTCGTTTTCTCGCAATTGCCGCAAAAAAAATCGACGAGATCTTGAAACGTTTCGATTTTGAACCGATTAACATCTGTAATTGGCCCTACTTGTTCGACAAATAAGAATTGCGGCGGCGTTTTATTAATTCTCTCATCTGCCGACATTTTACAGGTTGTCCTCGAACGACGTCCGCAGCACAAATGTTGGAAAAATGATTGATTTTATTGAGTTCAGAATATTTAGGGAATTTTGACAAAAATTGAGATTGCATTAATTTTGAGGAGAATTATTTTTTTTTGTTTTTCTTTTTTTTTTAAATCCCGTCTGCGGACAATTTACAGGATTCGCATTTTTGCTTCAAAAAATACGCTTTTTCGATAAATTAATGAGCTGGAATTTAGGCTGGGCAATTAGAGAAGCAATTAAGCTAAATTATGTGTAATTTTTAGCACGAAATAATTGGCGAAAATCGTTGGAATTGAAAAAATTTGGTAGATCAAACCGAAAAACGCGAAAAGGGCGAATCAATAAGTAAATGAGAACGTACAAGAATTTTGAAAAGAAACTGCAGCAGACACACACACGATGAATACCAGACAAGCGCAAGAAGAAAAAAGTGCGCGAGCGGGGCGCGCGTGGGTCGGCGGCAACGACGACGACGACGACGACGACGACGACGACGACGACGTTGACTGTCAATAAGCGATAATTGCTCGGCGAGAGAGCACGCGGAAGCGAGAGACGCGCGATAGACTCAATGTGTGGGCGTGGCCGAGACGCTCGCCTCATCAGCCAATCAGCGACGCACGCTCGACTCCGCCCATCTAATTGGTGGCGCCCGTTTTCGGCGCCTAATAACCGCCTAGTATCACGCTGTGCGCGGCGAGATGATGTGATTTGACAATTTCATGGGAAACGACTCGTGCGCAATTCCTTCGGCCTTCCTCGGCCCTTCCCCTCCCCCCATCACCACCACCACCATCGAGATTCACTCACCGTTTGAATCTTCTGCAAATGTTTGTCGGTTCGTGTGTGCAACTGAAAATTGGCCTTGAGCGTCGTATTATACGGGCACAAATGGCAGCGGAAGCAGCCGTTGACGATCGAAACGTCGCCGTGATTCGGACGACTTCGGTCTTTTTCGACGTGCTCCAACATCTCCGTCAGCGATTCCGACGAGAACACGCCGCAGATGAGGCAGACGAGATTCGAATCGGTCTCGTCGATCGGCGAGCTTCGAGATACCGGACACGCGAAATTCGCTGCAATTTTTTTTTCGAAAATTTCTTTTTTGAAAATGACACAATTTGTCGGAATTTGATGATTTTCGAAAATTTCAAAAATTGGTCTCTGCAATTTTTTTGTTCAGAAAATCCCTCAATTTCCGAAGACGAACGTTTTTGACAATTTGAAATTAAAAAAAACGTCTTGATCACTGATGGAAATGCGCCTTTGACGAATTATTTAGTTTTCAATTCTAGAAAAGAAATTCGAAATTATAGCATGAAGCCCCGCCCACTTCTGAAGTGCTTCCTTGGTTTCATAAGAACATTCAGCTAACCAAATTGAGCACTCAATCATGAAATGAGCACAAATTGAATATTCTACGAAACCGGAAAAGTGTCCGCAGATGGAATTCGACAAATTAAACATCGATTTTTTCGCGATTTCCACTTTAGAAATTAAACGCGCATTCCCGCGAATATGTCCGCAGCATACCTATGCTATTCGGCAGCTCCTGCACGGCGTGCAAATGCTTGTCGCTTTGCATGTGAATGCTAAGATTGCCCTTCGTTGTGGTGCTGTATCGACACAAATCGCATCTAACCAAATTGGAAAAATTTGCGGATTGGTTTGCACATGAATTGATCTACCTGTAAGGCTTGTACCCACACGAGTAGGTTTCGCCGCGAGCAAGTTTCGGATGTTGGAGATTGTCGGCGCAGTAGACGCATTTCACCTAAATTGGCGAACTCTGATTAGTCGATGCGCTATGATCCTACATCGGCATCGCTATGCTTATCCTTCATGTGAATCTCGAGTGTCTCTTGATACTTGTAATGCCAATTACACTTGGGGCATTTGAGAGTTTTCGACGAGTTGCGGAGTGTGGTGAACGACGAAATATCGTTGAAGACGCTCGAGTCGAAGGCGAACGTCGCCGACGATGCCGCTTCGCCGAGAATCCGCTCGAGTTGCGATTTCGGACTGCTCCGATCCATCGATCCTACAATTTGATGTTTGGCTGGGTCATTTTTTTTTGATCTACCGAAAACATGCGACGACGACTCGCTCAGCATCCTCATTATCTCCTTGGAATCGGCCATTGGTGAGGCGGATTGCGCGCGCGGCGTCGGATTCGAACTCTCGTCCATTTTCAGCAGTGCCACATCCATATCATGAGATACCTGCAATCGAAATTGCCATCAAATTCGATGTCAAATTGAGAGAGCCAAAAAGAAATGAAAAAAAACGCGGGGAGTCAAGGAAGTTTGGAGTGTTGTTGCTGCTTTCATTCTTTTTTTTTCGGCACATTTGCGATTAGTTAGTGGTGCCACATGTGCTTGCAATTAATTAAAACTGCGAAAGCGGCGAGGCCGCAAAAAACGAGTGGTTGGATGGGGTCGAGAGGAGGCATAATCTCGGCGGACCATCACAGGTAACGCACGGCGCCATTGGTGTGGAGTTGCGCCAATGGTGGCGCCTTAGAAGTGAGCGCGTCCGGCGAGCCAACCTTGCGGGACGACGAATGAAAACAAAACAATTGGGCGACGACAGGTGCGACGAGGCTTTTCGACACCCATCAACCGACAAATTACAACATCGAGTCGACTACGGTAGCATGTGTGAAGCCATATGGATGGAACAACTTTTGAGACATCATAAACTCGCTCGGCGAACCCCCCCCCCCTCTCCGGGTTGAAATGGGCTCGGCTTTTCGCACCTGCCGACAGACATCCGGTGTTGACACAATCGATATACATATGCGATATGAAGCGACCGAAAAAAAAAAAATAGAATATTGCCGCGAAGAGAAAACGATGGCCGCGCTGTTGTATTGGCGCTTTTGACAAGATGCGGGGGCCTCGAAATGTTGTGGGCGTGGCCAACATCGGGCCCTCCTCCTCCGACTCCTCGGTTCTCGTCGTTCTTCTCCAACTTCTTCTCATAGCCCTCCTCCAACCTTATACATATGGTGATTAGGATGAGCAAAAGATGCGAGCGAGCACATGAATTTCCTATTCAATTTCGACTGAAAATTTTCATGGATGGCCGTGCGTCCGACAAATTCAATTATCGCTTCGTCTTAGGTGCCTACCGTAATCATTTATTCTCATCTAATTTCTATCGACTCCGCCCACTTTATTGTTATCTGCGACTAAGTTTTGCAAATTTGATACGGCGATCACCTATACGGAATTCAACTCGATCGTTAATCATGAGTCAACACCAATTTCCCAGCAATAATAGAGAACCATAAATAATATGTTTAACGATCGAAATCAAACAAAAAAATTTTTGCATTTGAAAAAAGGGCCATTACGACAAGAATATTTCGAGCACGAATGTGGGAAAACAGCGCAATTTTTGTGATTGATTTCGCGAGGCTTGTACGATTGACAAACATGTACAGTTTTTGTTGTTAGCGGCTTGAATGGTTGGACGGCGAGCGAGAAAAAAAGCGTTGAAAGTGTGTGGGGAATCGAATGGTGATTATTTGGAGGTTTTCGAAAATTGCCTCACATTTGCACATATAGCATAGGTATGCTGCGGACACGTTCGCAGGAATGCGTGTTTAATTTCTAAAGTGGAAATCGCGAGAATTCGATTTTTTATTTGTCAAATTCCATCTGCGGACACTTTTCCGGTTTCCTAGAATATTTGATGTCAAAAAATTTTTGTAGAAAAATTGGCGAAAAAGGAATGAGAGAAACGCGTGTTCATCCATTTTTCGCAATTTTTTGGGTATCGGCCCATTCTTTTTTTAATGCCTGATCAATTGATTTGACCGAGAAGCTGAAACTCAAAATCGAGCAACGAGAAATGCAGTTTTCAAGTGAAGCACTCATGAAACGGAAGATCGAACATTGATACCTGCTTGATGAGTAAAATGGAGGGATTGGGGTTGGGAAAAATGAATCGAAAACACGGCGAATGGGAGTAATCAAGATTTTCGTTGGGAGGAGTTTTGAGAGAAGGGACTTGCTCGTTTAATGTAATCAAATCGCACATTCGTGAATTAGCTAATTGGCCGCGCAAGCAGCAGCCACAGCCGAACAAGGACCTCCGAGTCGGGGGTGGTCCCAGCGTGCCGGCGGTTTACGAGTTTTTCGGCCGGCTCCGAGAGGTTTTCATCGTGATTAATTATCTCAAACACACACACTCAAAACGCGCGCAAAAATGCGAAAAAAATTGGCAACAATTTGGGGGCAACGCGAAAAATTGAAATTGATTGCTTCTAATTATACATACATATATATTATATATATATAGTATATATCGATGTGTTGACACTTTATTATTATTATTATTAGGCCAACTAATTTGCCGTTGAAATGCGATTACTCGCCGTGAAGATGGAGGGACCCTAACGATTTAATTGTGGTCCGTTGCGTTTTGCGAGCTCGACACAACGAGACTCGGAGCCGAAAATGCGATTATTATTATGATTACTACTGTAGGAAGGAAGGCCTCCCAAAAAAGGCAAATTTATTTGAAAACGCAATTTGGGCGTCGGACGAGCACGAAGTGAGGAGAAATTATCATAAATTCGCGGTTACGCTTTGCGGGACCCGCGACGACAAATTGGGTCCGTTTATTTCATAAATGCAATAATGAAAACTTGTTGGACACGTCGCTTCGAATTGAGCCAACATTATTGAGCAATTGAATTGGTTTTCAGGTTGTTTTCTCGAATCTCATCGACAGTATATACAGAAATCAAATGAATTCGATCATCTGCGGACATCTCCCGTTTCTCTGAATCCTACTATGAAGTGGTCCGTCAACTTATAGAATTGCTACTAGAATAGGGAATATGCGAGAAATTGGTAAAGATAATTGGAATATGAATAATTTGGCAAAAAACCGGCCGAAAAGGAGAATATGCGAGGAAATTCATACAGCGGCCTACGGTAGTTTTTCTTTCAGGCTCATTGGCGGCGGCGAGAGCGAAGAGAGGGGGGGGGCGCCATTAAATTAGTTCCAGCTAACCGATTTTCTTTTTAATGAGGTGCACTTTTTTTCGTGGCTTGAACCAGAGGTGGAGGTCGAAGAGAAGTCGATGTCGGCTCGGCTCGGCGAGAGAACGGACCATAAACATATTAGGGGGGGGGGGGAGGCGAAGGTAAAAAGGTGTGAAAAGTGTTGAAGAGAGAAGGGACCAATTTGAGAGCGGCACCCACCCAACGCGAGCACATTAGCGACAGCTTAAACGGGTAAAGCTTGGGAGGAGGGGAGGGGAAGCGGGGCGAGGAAAGGTGTGATGGAAACGAGCAAAAATTGGTAGAAGAGGGCCGAAATTCGCGCATGAGTGATCTCACGACGCGATATACATGAGTTAATAAATTACACCATATTTGGAGGTGAGAATGAGGTAAAGCACACGTCGTCGGAAGGGACCATTGAAGGGTGGAGAGAGAGAGATGTGTGTGCAAATTGTGGGTCCCCCGCCCCCCTCAGTTTATTATTAGTATTATTATTATTATTATAACTATTATTGTTATTATGTGTGGTGGTGAGGCAACACTCTTTCGCTCATTCATTCAATTCGATATAATTTTTCCGGTAACCGCTCAGTCGAGCCCCCCCGCGTAAGCAGCCTTTCAATTATGTGCCAAATTTGCGCACAATTTGTTAGTATGGAGAGAGGGGTTCGATGGATTCATCTGCGGACAATTCGCGGGATCTGCCCTACAATCATCATACGAGATAAAGAGAGCGAATGATACGTTCCATAAACTACTTGCCTATTTTTGGGTCCAACTCGAAGATTACTGTAGAAGGCAAATCAAAAGTAGTTGAATGGCGATTATATGTGCCTATGTATTGGGGGCACCACTCACCATCGACCCGAATCAACACCACCACTAGCGGGTGTCAATTGATGGAACAAATTGAGCGTGAAACACGAATCACTTTGCCGTCTTATGTGTGTTTTTTTTGGGTCCCATTCTCGAGACAGAGACAGCGAGACGGTCCATTCTCAAATGGGGTGTGTGCACTAAATTGCATCGGCCCGCGCCCGCTACCTGATTGATTACGGTAGGAAATATGTATTAAGGCGGCGATAAAGAGAAGGGACCTCTAATTGTGTGGTTCTTGTTGATGATGATGAGACAAATCTCATTTCGAATCGGCACGCGCGATTTTTGTCGAGTGTGACACTTCAATGAAATCACGCCCTAACCAACACGGCTCGTTAAGAAGGTTGGAGCAGTACTCGATGTGCTCGTGCTCGTGTGTGATAGATAACTTAAATCTAATTCTGCGCCTATTCGCTTCTTTCGAATTCTTCACTTCTCGGCTCATTCATTCAACTCGAGCTCCTCTTTTCTCGACGGCCTTCCGAGTTGATGAAATTTTGTTCGAATTTTCGTTAAAAACATCGTCAGACGAGATTTGACTTCACTTGACTTCATTTGGCGACGAATTGAGACGAGGGAGGAGGAGGAGGAGGCGAGCTCTGCAACCGATTCTGGAACCTCCAATGATGTCCGCAGCTCGACCGCTGGTGAGATATGGTTCGGAACGTTCAGATGTGATTGATCTGATTGACTTCCATGACCCCAATTTGATTTTAATATTCAGCAAGCATTGATATACATAATTAAAATGATATTAAAGCAAGCATAGTCATCTGCGGACGATTCGCAGGTTTCTTAAAATCCATAAATCAAGGAAAAATGAGGCGATTATCAGGTTGGTCGGAGGATTAAAAAGGAAACGAAAAAGAATGCGTTTTATTTTGGCGAAAAAAAAGAGAAAATGGGATCCCGTGAAATGTCGGCAGCAGGAATTCGACAAGAGAAAAACAAATCCAAACAAATCGAGGACGAATGAATGAATTGGGTCCCGTGCGGAAAACCCATAAAAAAGCACAAATCCGTTTTTTTTCTGCTCTGCAGTCGGATTAGATGTATATTTCCATTAAAATGATTAATTAAAAATACGGAAAAAAACATGAGAAAAAAAAAACGAGCACACACACATATGATTTCAGACTTTTTGATTTCTCAATAAAAAATGTTGGGATTACACTTGACCATAATCGGATCCTAGTATTATTAGTATTATTAATGATAATTTCTTTCTCACTCATTCACTCATTGATTCTCATTTCTATTATATATATATATTATTTTTCCAGTTTTTAAATAATTAAAAAATAATAATA